CTCGATGCGTTCGCATCTTTCCCTGAAGTCAAGGTACCCGCTGAATCACGGATGCCAGATGGGTCAAGAAGACGTGTATCGTGGTGAACCGGGAATCTCGTTCCGGACCCCCGAATATTTCGACACGACGAATACACGACGAATCTGTGGTTCAAAACTGCAAACGTTTTCGAACGACCATCCGCAACTTCTATAACGCATTAGCAATGGCTTCAATGACTGCTCAGGGAAAAATCATCCGGACTTCGGTCCATTTTCTTTCCGCGTACACGGACGGGTATACCAGACTATAGGAGGATCCCGGCCTCGAAGCGGAGAGTAATCTCAATGCGCTGATCAAGGACACCGATGGGTCAGCCGGAGAACTTGGTGGCCGCGCAGTGACTCGTCACTGCTGCGAAACCATCCTTTCCGCTCTCCGTAAGATATTGACAGGATCGAATATACCAGACTATAGGAGGATCCCGGCCTCGAAGCGGAGAGTAATCTCAATGCGCTGATCAAGGACACCGATGGGTCAGCCGGAGAACTTGGTGGCCGCGCAGTGACTCGTCACTGCTGCGAAACCATCCTTTCCGCTCTCCGTAAGATATTGACAGGATCGAATTCCCATGTGCAAGCTTTCAGGCTCATGGCTAGACTTGCGAATGGAGAAACGCTACAGAGGTAACGCGAAGATGGGTATTCAAGAGCGCTACGAATGTTGTGCGAGCACAATGAAGAAGGCCCCTGAACGCTGGCGGATTGCGTCCCCCATGCTTCCGTTCAAACGCATTCACAACCCTACTAGTGGACATGAAATTCGGTTTGGACTTCTGTTCGTATGCTCCAGATAGCGCACTCAATCCGAACTTTCGATTCTTCCCCCTTCCCAAAATTCTTCTCCCGTAATGCCTAAGTGTAGGGCGCGTCATCATTTTGGACCTCCGACCCCCTCAAATCCTAGTCCGGTTCTGGGGGCGCTACCCCTGCTCACAGAAAGCAGGTAAAAACTTACGAGTCCGGCACCCTTGAGCGAGAAGAGTTGCGATATGCGAGGAGTTTTTCCCAAAAAAAAGACACTGTCCGGGTGAACATTACATATTGTCTGGCAGACGCTTGAAACAATGCAACGAGGAGAATGCTCGCGAAACATGAACGACTGCTCTCGAAAGGGACTGCAAGCTCCAATCTGCTCCTTACAGAGCCAGGAAGTAATGGATACTGCAACGAAGATCGTAAGGACTTACCTCCTCTCTGGAAGCACTTATACACAGTGCTGGTACTCCAGCCGCCCGGCGGCGGGAGCACCCTGTCGTCACTGACATCGAGCATGATTTGACGTCCTGTGTCTTCATCTTCTAAGTAAAGCGCCGAAGAGCCTAAGGA